AGCAAAATTTGTTATCGTGACAGACCTAGCTACAACACTTTCCTAATAAAATAAAATAAAATAAAATAAAATCACTTGACTCACTTGGTAATCACCAGGTAGTTTGCTTTCACCACTTACCAATTTGTAGCATCATGTTTGAGACCCACTGAAACCACTGATCTGCCCGAGGCAAACATGCCATTCAGACCAGTAAGCATCTGAGGAGGGAGGAACCGTTTGTGAGTCAGGACAATTGCAAGTTGAATGAACAAACATCTGAAGGGATATCATTGAGACGTCGTTACAATGTCTCGCGTGAAAACGCAAAGCGACATCGCCTGGTTTCACAAATAATCATCCGTCACAGCAGAAGATATTTTGAAAAGTAAACTGCTGCCACTGTGCTGTTGGCTGTAGTAACTTTACTAATATTATATACCACAGAGAGATTTTTTTTTTTAAAACTAGCATTATGTTTGGAAGTCCTTGTATCCATTTTCTTCCTCTCGTTATTCAAATATAGCAACTCTGCGATGGATGTATGAGCATGATCATTACGATGCTCATTACGCAGTTATCAGTTTTTTTAAATAAAAATGCAACTAAAAATATAAGCTCAATATACAAAAATATATCTTAGTGGTTTATTCATGTTAGCCTATACAACAACATGACCAAAAACAACATTGAATGTTTGCAAAAGTAGTGTTCTGGAGTGAAAGACATCAGTATTGAGGGATATTTGAATTCAGATTGAAGTATCAGTACTGGATCAAAATCCCCCAAAACCTGCATCAGAACATCTAATAAAAGCTCTACAACAGTTAATTTAAGAAAGCGAAACAAAAGCAGGGAAACATTGTAGCTATGTCTTCAGAGCCATTAAAACTGGGCTCAGTTAATCCCAGTTTGTTCACAAACTGTGGGCTCACTCATTGCCATTTCACATCATCCTGCTTTTGTACCTTTCTTACTAAATCATTGCGCAACTGATTATTTATTTTGGTTTGTTCTGTTTGTCAATTATAAAGAAAGATAAAATAAATAAATAAAACAATACAAAATACAGAAGGGGCAAAATGACCAACACCCAGTTTGGTCAATTATTTCAGCCAAATGTTGCTACATACCAGAGTTTAGGTAGACATAAAACCACTAGAGTCAAAGTGCAGGAAAACCGTTCAATTAAAACAATGCAATTACTAACAATCAATAGTCTGATGAAGGCACAAATTACCCCAAACACTACTGGCTCCTGGCTAGGGATTTTCTCTCTTTCCAAATAATAAAAAGTCTAACAAAAATAATTTCTTCTTCCACGGAATATTAGAATTTATTAAACTGCAATAAACATATTCAACGTCTTCCCTTCTATTCATCACATGTGCAAAGTAGAAGTTACCCAGGAGGACAGAACATACATTCATAAACACAGCAGCAGGTAATCAATAAACAGTCACCCGGCTATATGCGGTCAATAAAAGGCACGGCCTGCTTCACAAAACTTCTCTGTTCCAGGCCAAAAGTCTTTGCCAATCAATGCAGTGCACACTAAACCTATAATGCCTTTTGGGAGTCTGAAGGCATTTTGTGTGCTCATCAAGGAATCCAAGCATATCTGGGGAAAGATTTGGTCTCTGTTGTTCAGCACGAAAAGGACCACAGAAACTCTCCAAGCCGTCAAAGCGACGTCTCAAAGATGACACCGATGTCCTTGGTGCGCCGCGTGTCGCTCTCTCCTTTTCTGTTCGCGTGAACCTGAAAGCGGATCAGGGAGGCAGTGTCACATCACAGAATGCCAAGCACACTTTCCAAATCTGAGCTGAGATCAGTTAAGGTGCGATTTAAGACGGGATCCAGTCAGAGCGCGGTGAAGGGATTTTGTCATCCACTGAGGCAAGCCAAAGTGGCTTATTTAGCCTAACAAACAGGTGTGAAATTCATAGGAGGAAAATTTTGGAAGATAATCACGGGAATTAATTGTGAGGGTAATTTTGTCAACTTCTTGGCTTAAAAACTATTGGAATTGGAAAAAGTGACTGTGAAAAGCTTCACCCTACATTAGGTAGTGTAACTATTCATGAGTAGATTTAAGTATTTTTATTTAAAATGTCTGGAAGTTAAGAGCAAAGTGGAACTGAAGTCAAATCCCTAGTTTGTGAGCACAAAGGTTTGCTCAACTCAAGTTGGAGACCAAGACAGGGAAGATGGTTTTTAATTTGTTTTACCAAGACAGATTTAAAAATCTGTAGTATTCAGTCCACTTTACTCTGACACCCTAAACAAAACCAAGTGCAACTAACTGCCTTCAGACAAACTTGTGTGTAATTCAACACTCAGATAAAGACTGCTGCTCTTTCAGGGCTTCAGACGTTTCTAGGAGACACTGGTAAACAAGTAGGGTCAAAAAGACCAAGAACAACACCAGACAGGTAACGGATAAAGTTGAGAAGAAGCTCAAGGTGGGGATTCAGTTATGAAACAATATTCTAAGCTTTAAATATTTCTCTGTGATCTGTTTAATACCCCTTCTAACAATGGAGAGAGTAAGACAAAGTTGCAGACAATACCAAGACATGGCAATCCTAAATTGTCAGGCAACAAACGGAGAATTAATCAGAGAGGCAGCTAAGGTAAATAAAGGAGAAAGTTGGTCTGGTCAGATGAGGCCTCAAGTTTAGCAGAAATCCAGATGTAGCAAAAACAAAAAACTAAACAGCCTAAAAATACCACCATATTTTTACAACATGGTGCACAATATGGTGTAGAAATAATTTTGTTCGGGAAGGATGGGGAAGATGACTGAAGCGAAATACATGGAAAATTTACAAGAAACCCATTTAGAGACTGCAATAGACTTGAGAGACTGGGGAGGATTTTCACCATCCAGCAGCTCAATGACATTAAACATACACTATAGATCAAATCATATCTCTATGTTTGATTGGTCTAGTCAGATCCAGATTTAAATTCAATTGATAATTTGTTGCAAGACTTTAAGGCTGAAGCTTTCCATTCCGTCTGACTGGGCTTGGGTTATTTTTCAAACAGAAGATTGAGAAAAGATTTCAGTCTCTAGATGTGCAGCTGTGCTTGAAACAAACGTTCATTCTACAAAATCTCGACTCAGGGGAGTCGGATGTGATGACAAACCACACTTTTCACAATTTTATGTGGAAACAACGCTGAAAACCACGTGCACTGTTCCTTCCATTCTTCATTTATGTGCAACATTATGTTGTTTTATGATATGGCAACCCATTTAAATACATACTTTGTGGTTGGACCAAGGCAAAATGTGAAAAATGTTTGATGGGTGTGAATACTTTTGCAGTTAACGGTCTAACAAGTTTTTTTTTTTGTTTTTTTTGTTTTTTTTTTCAGCTCAAAGCTTGAGATGTACCGTCTGCTCCAGGATTTTCTTTCAGCATGAACAAAGGAGGCAGAGGTTGATATCAGATTATTGAATGTATTTAAACCTTGACTGACAACTATAGAAACCTGACACACAACATGTAGACCATCTCAGTATTTAATAAGTGGTGCTAGACAGTTTTGGATGCTGACGTAATCTGATCTGTGGAGAGCAGCCTACAATGGAGAAAAGAAGAAACGCAAGGTCTCAAACAATGTCCTCGCCAATCCGCCAGTGTGCAGGGTAAGACGATACCAAATAATGCCACAGTGTGCTGCGTCTTTGAAATCAGTATTTTACTCATTTCACTCCTCTGGCTGAGAAGATACAGCACCGCTGATAAATTTGTGCGCGGGACAGAGGGAAAATGAAATGATGCCCACTTTTTTTTTCTTATTTCACAAAGACCTGTTTGAAGTTGCTATATGGTATCTGTCGTCCCAGACAGATGCACATAAAATGGAATTGAACAATGAATAGCCAGCCCTTATCTGCTCAGTGTCTGAAGGGGAAATACATCACAAATGAATTTCACAGGGAAAGAAAAAAAATACATATATACGGAGTTTCTTTATTACAGTAATCCCCATAGAAAGTTTATCCTGGATCACGATGAAGTTAAACCCAATATTCCCAAACGGAGACAGTGCAAAGAAAGCTGCTTTTCTGGACTCATCACTTAAAATGATCTCAAAATTATATTATGAGAAAAGAGATATTGTGGGAAGTTTCTTCGATAACATCAGCGGATCTGAATCTACAAAGAACCAATTTCTCTCTTAAAATTAATCTTACGGTGTTGCGAGGCTGCAAGTAGACACTTTAAATTAAAATGGTAATCAAGTTTCTTTGCTTTGCTTTGTCAGGGTCATGGACATCTTTTGTCACAGCTCGTAATATTTTTGGAGTCTGAGGAGATTAGTGTGCGATGGCTGGTCTCTTACTTAGCGAGAGACCAGCTCTGGGACAGAGGCGGATGGATACCTGCTTGGCCACTTGCAGCAGTGACGCGGCTTCGGCTTTGCCCGTTTTTTGGACCATCTGGTAGAAGAGCCCGCCCCGGTTCTGGAGCAGGACGTACGGCTCGTCGTACTCCTGGATCCTGCCGGCATCCAGAACCTGCAATCACACGTGCAGCAGAATAATAGGTGTGCGGCCCAACACCTGTATACTTTACTTCGGGGAAAACTGACATTTCAGCTGTTTCGCCGGCTGAGTGGAGCATGCAGACGGTGCAAACTTGAATGGGGGAAACAGTGGTTCGGAGTGCAAAAGGAACCATCCATTTGGTGTGACTCAGGCGGCTTGCAAACAGCGGCGCCTGTTTCTGCTTGATACGGCCTCTGACAATGAGAGGAACCTGTTAGCAGAGCGAAAGCCTGCTGCGCTGACTCTGACAGACAGGAGATCAGAGATTTATCCATGTATTTACCCAGGCATTTGCAGAGGCCTAGAGGTGGTCCTCAGTCAAATCCAACAATCACACCCTCAAGGCACTCGAGAAAATTACCATCATTTCTGTGTCATGGCATGCTATGTAAACCACACAAAGAATAGTGCCAGTTCCAGCAGTTTGGAAAAGACTACAATTATAGCACAGACTAATTTAAACAAGCCCGATTCCCTTACAGCACTAATGAGCAGTTTGTCAACTGTGTCGGTGAAAAAGGGAGACTTCTGCAGTTGCTGTCATAATCAATTGTTTATGGGCAGAAAGCTGGAACACCGAGTTTGTGTCTTGAAAATTGTTTTTAATTTGGGGAAAGTCAACTCACACACAGGTCACGGTTTAGTTCCCCCCTCAGCACACGGGGACATTTAACACAAGCATAGGTGTGAAACAGTTCGTGACACTTGGCTTTCCCGAGAAACGCTCTCAGTGGTCAGACAGCCGTCGGGTCGCACTCCGTCCTCCGTAGAGGATTAACAAACACCGCCACGGATGCCACTAATTGGCACCTCTGCAGGCAGCAGCAAGAGAGAGCCAAAGATCAAGTGGCACAAGTGCCGATTCAATAAAAGCGAAAGCTGTGAGGGAGGAATCAACCCAGCTGTTGTGAAATAAGTGAATTAAACGGGTACGTTGGGAGACGAGGCGCTAATGACACAGAAAAGAAGTGTCTGCGTTGTATGGGCCTCAGGTGTGCTGACCAGTGAAAACAAAAAGTGAGTGGTAGTCTACCATTGTTTAGGACTTCTTTCCAATCTTACCCCTCACCTGTCTGCTCCGTTTCTCTGTCTTTGTGATGCTGTTTGTTCATTGATGTTTTCTCAAAAAGACTTCTAAGGCTGGATTTACCTCAGATTAAATTACACACCAATTAACTCTATTTAGTCAATATTTTTGTGAAACATTTTAGAAACTGTATTATTTCCCTTCCACATCACAGTCATACACTTGTTCCAGATGTGGAAAAGCTCAATACCTTTGCAAGACCCTTCTTGTAATGAAATGATCTTAAAATGCAGAATTTAATTGTTTTCTTTTCAGATATTTTCTGCTATTAGCCTTTAGAAAAAATAAATAAATAAATAAATAAAGGAGCTCAAAACACCAACTGAAGTGCTGCACAATGGAAATTTACTGCATCCTTACTTACCAGTATTCTGTCACAGTCAATGATAGTGTTGAGCCTGTGAGCAATGGTGAGGACTGTGCACTCTTGAAACTTGTTCCGGATAGTCTGCTGGATCAGGCTGTCAGTTCTAAAGAAGCAGGGAACACAACACCTGAGAACACACACACACACACAAAAAGAAACTTCTCTTCCTACAAAGCCTTGGGCAGGGATTTTACGCAGGCCAGAACAATGGCTCATCAGCTGCAAAGTATGTGTAAGAGTAGACAGAGAAAAAATGAGGACCATCAGGCGGTTTAAACTGGGCAGAAATGACAGATTTTGACATTGTGATAAGCATGTTTTGTTTTACTCTTTTCAGTATATTAGCTTACTTACAGTCATCAGATCTAAGGGAAACAATCGGTCTGACATTTAGATTGATGTAAAAACCTGCTATTATTTAAAACTTGAAAGTTTCTTTTTCTTTTTTGGCGATGACGGACCCAATCAACAGCAGTTAGGCTGTTGGATAGTTTTCATAGTTTTACGGGAACCACTAGTGCTGAAAAGTAAATACAGCTAATTAGCTCCGGCGTCCTTTAGGTCAAAACTATTAACATTTAAGTTGTATGCATTAAAAACGTAACGAGAGCCATTTGAAAGTTACAGTTCCTGCACAGTGTAGTCTGTCCACTTTAAAGCTGCAAATAAATAAACTATCATTGCCGACTGAGGAAAATACATCACTGCTGACCAAAATCAACCAATCAGAACCAGGAGGAGGATCTCTTGGCTCCTGAAGTGATCAGTGTTCAATGGCAAACAAAAATGGCTGTACTGGCCAATATAAGGAGACATATGCATTCACTATCACAGTTTGTGTTTGTTTATTGTGTCATTTTTAATTATTTGAAGTTAAATATTTTGTGTACACTCGGCTGAGAGAGAGAAAATACTATTATTAATCTTTTATTAAAAACAAAAATAAAAAAAAGTAACAGCAAGGTGTTGCCTGACCTCGGGTCTACATTTGCTGTGGCTTCATCAATAATGAGGATACGGTTTTCCCTGAGGATGGCCCTGGCCAGACACACCAACTGTCTCTGGCCCACGCTGAAATTGGAGCCCGACTCGGTGAGCACCGTTTCCAGCTTGTTGGGCAGCTCCTCCACCACTGCCTTCATCTGCACCTGCAGAGAGAGAGAGCACGCCCCCAACCCTTCATTACTCCTGCATAAAGGCATCCTGTGGAGATCTCTTTAAAGAGCCATCCAAACACACCCATTAACTGGTTGGCACAATGCAAAGCCAGGTCCACTGATGACCTTGGCCAGTGCTCTCTTGTGGCCAGCCTCTAACTTTAATCCAGGCCACCAAACCCATTCAGAAGCAGGACCAGGAGCTGAAGCCCTTCACGGTGGGGGGAACCTTCATCACGGTTGCCCTGACTGCCCAAACACATCTCCTCTTGCACTTTCAATGGTTCCCCGTTACAAGCCGCACATTGAGCTGGGCCCCATGGCCCTAATGGGATTTCCCCCCATGACTTGTGGCGAGCAGGGAGGCTGAATGGCAGCATTGTACGGGGGAACAGAGGGATCCCCCCTGGGCTGGTGAGGGGGAATCATTCAGAGCCACGCTGGAGTACCTCTTGGAGTGCATTCCACAGGTCCTCATCTGTGTGCTGCTTGAAAGGGTCCAGATTCTTCCTCATGGTGCCTGTGAAGAGTACCGGGTCCTGTGGATAGATGGATATAGAAAGAGAAGGCCATAGCCAGTTAAAATAATGACGAAGGGGCAGATGTATAAAAGGGTTAAAGGCAGGATTTATAGAAGACTGAGAGCCAATGTGCGAGGAGAGATGTTCACAAAGAACCTGCTCCACCGAGGAGCTCTATTCACTGCTAACTGTGCTCCAATACATTGATCTTTTTAGTTAGAAAGCAGCAGCTTTGGACTGCTGTGATTGGGAAATAATTGTTGAGGTTTGTTTACAGTTATGATCTGATTCAAAAGTGTGACAGGCTCATTATGACACATTTCCCATGTGGTAGCAACTCAAAAACATGAAGCTTCTGTCAGCAGGAACATATTGCTGCATCCAATTCACCATGTGAAAGACCAGAGTCAGACATCAAGCAACCAGCAGGGGCAACACGTACACAGTTCAAGTCAATTGTCTACATACACTCATAGGCATGAAAGTCATATTAATTTTGGACAATTACTGACTTTCAGTGAAGGACAAGTAGATACAACAAAGAAATAAACAAAGACCTGCTTAGTGTTTTTGTCTGTGACTGACAGATAAAAAGCTTAATTCAAGGCAATAAAATTAAAAAAAGAGGGCACAATGAAACATCACAGGAAACTGACTTTAAAAGACAGCTTTATTGAAGAATGAAACATTGATAAAATGCAAGAAAGTAATATTGACCTTTATTCTTTAGCAACTTTTTTTTTTTTAAATACACACGGTGGAATTTGCTTGTATGTTGTCAATTAAGCTGTAATTGTTGGGTATGTATGGCCAAAGTAAGTTGTGGTTGGATGACATTGACAACTCAAATTGTTTCACATTTATTTTTGGAAAAGTAAAGACAGAACATTCTACTTAATGTTTCAGTACACTGACAATTCGTATTATAATCTTTATTTTTTTTAAAATACTGTCCAAGGACAGTCGCAATAAAACTAGTTCATAGTTTTTGACTAAGCCAAAATGAAGAGAAATATAGGAAATCCAAAAGAATATTGCAAAAGTTAGGTCTGTTTTTTTTTTTGTTTAAGATAAAATTAAACTGAACCAATGTTCTTTCTAGTCTTTATGAAGTGGGGATCATGTTCTCCTTCGTATGGCTGCCTGGTCAAAACAGTTTGTAAGCTGTCCTTATGCTAGAAGTCGAAGACCGTATTTGTCTTTAGTCGAGTTCACAAGGCTCCCATTCCAGTGCAAAAACCTCAAATAATGTTCAACATGTCTTTGTAGTTGAAATAAATCTGATAAAAATCCTTTTACAGATCAGATACATCTTACTGAATACTGATCTCTTACAGCAGCCGAAGGAAACGTTTTCAGATCTTTTTTTTTTTTTTTTTTTTCTTTTTTTTTTTTTGCAACAATCACTGGCAGGATTACTCAGGATTTAGCACTCCTAAGAGGTTCTAATTATCATGCCCACAAAAAAAAGATAATAATGATATGTAAGAGAGAGGTGATGCAGATAGAGGTGATACATGGTAGCAGACATCTTTATCAAGATGTCATGTTTTCATCCTGTCTTAATCACAGTCTGTTAACTTTCGTAACAGATCTCAATCTGACCTCAGTGGTAGACAATACATTTATTTTAAAACTGCAAGATTAGACCAGCAAAAAAATGTCAGCAAATAATCAGTCTAAAAGGTTCAATGTATGCATTAAGGTTACAGAACACCAGGTAAGAGTTATTTTACCCGCTAAACATGTTTTTCAAACTTCAGCTAATATTTTTAATATGTTATATTGGAATTTTATTTAGCAGACATATCAAAATAAAGTAGCTCATACGAAAACTTATACAATGCTTTCAAAAAATTTTACTAATACAAGCAAGTAACGTAATTAAACCATAACGTAGTTTTGAGAATCACATTATGCTGAAATAACAGCTGCATGTTCTTTGCTGTGAGTCTCCACAGCACACAGACACACAATTAAACTTAAATTAGTCTTTCTAAAAAGCTCAGACTCAGTTTAAGCATCTGTGAACATCATTCTAGCACATCAACATGTTTTGATTTAAACCATTCCTCTGTAGATCTGCGTAGGGCTGTCACACTGCTGGAAGATGGACTTTTTCCCCAGTTTAAAGTCTTTGTAGTCCCCAAGAGGTTTTCTTCCAGGATTGCCCTTTAGTTTGTGGCATTCATCCTCCCATCAACTCTAATCAGGTTTCCTTTCGCTGCTGAAGGAAATCATGCCCACAGCATGCTGCTACCACCGCCATCTTTCACGGTAGAGACGGTGTATTCAGGGTTCTGCCACATAAGGTTTTTCTAAGCACAGCATCTTTTATTACGTGTTTGCTGAGTCCTTGATACAAGCTGTGGCAAACTGAGGACAGGAATTATGTCGCCTTTCTTTTAACAATTTAATAACCTCGGCACTTTTTCATTAAGATACCAAAGTATTTATAGTTACTGCTCTATGAGTACATAAGTGTGATTCACCACACTTACGAACCGAAAAAAGAACAAAACAAACAATACATTTCCTCTGAGTCTAAAGTCTTTTAGAGCAAGTGAATAAGTTATTTTGCTATGCTGTACCAGTGTGGCAGCATGATGACACCACAAGATGTAATAGTTGCATCTCGTTCCCTCAGAGATTCTTGGTCAATCAGTTGCAAAGCTTTACAAATCAATCCATGTTCAAAATCAAAAAATACAGACTGCCAGTCAAAGATACACAATCTTTCAGTTTATTAAGGTCTAACTAAAAAAATGCTTTTGTTCATCAATCAATCTTGAGACTAGAAATCGAACAGCAACCAGGCCGTCTGCTCATCTTATAACATGCACTTCTGCTTTAGTTTATGTGCGTTTCTTTTAAGCCAACCATAAATTTGTTTTCCACTTCAAAGTTATGTTCACCTTTGTGTTGGGGTATCACAAAAAAATCCCAAAGAAATACGTTAAAGATTGTGGCTGTAGAGTGACAAAATGTGCAAGTGTTTACATGGCATTTATAATTTCACAAGCCACAATAAACAATCCAAACCTTAACAAAGCAGCAAAGAACGTTTACTGTCAAAAATGAAAATCGCGTCTCAACAAGTCGCATCCTGTGGGGTCAGAAGGGTCAAGACCAACAGCTCAGTTTCCATACAGAATAATAAAGCTTTCAAAACCTAATCCCTGCTACCTGCGCTCTCCCAAAATGTTCCACCTCTTCACCTCCAATGAGCTTTTCCCTCTGTCACCAAAATACCACCTTGTCATAAAGCCAGCCGAAGTCCTAAAGCAGACTAGTTCTGTGACACACTTTAATTGAGGATTCAGTGTTAGGTTGGAAAACTGCTTTCAAGCGCAGCTTTCCATGCGCCAATTATGTGCTCCAGCAGTTCCAAGCCCTCTGTTTGCCACAGAATTCATGTTACACTAAGACATTCCTGAGGGTTCAATAGAGACTGAAATGGATCCTTTTTAATGCCATATGCTGTCACAAATCTATCAGAACCAAATCTCATCAATAGGACTATACAGTAAACATTTAACTTTAAATTTTCTTGGAAAAAAGTAAGGCTACAAGCAATAAAGACAGTTGACAGTGAAAGGCTGCCTGGATGTTGTATTATCTGTGATATTCATTAAAAATAATTTAAATATTAAGTTTTTTAGGTTAATTTATATGAATGCAAAAGATAAAAAAAAAAGTTCAAAAAAGTTCTCTAAGTGCTGCCTACATAATGAAAATGTCACACTGTATGACAGATGAATGTGCAGTGGAAGCTTTGGCTCGTAACCTGGCACTTTTTAAGTCTTCCCTTTAGGAGAGGCAAAGTAAGTAAACAAAATCCCATCAAACATACATCATATCCATCTCTAACTAGTTTAGACGAGGAAGTAAAACTTCATCTGAAGAGGCAGCGATGCCAGAAACCCATCAAATCCACAGAGGAGCATTAATGAAATTGTTTTTGGGCATCTTGGCTGCAGCCGAGAAATGTTTGAGACTTGGGCTAAGTGACGGTGTTCACTGCGACTCTGACTGTGAGGATGGGGAGCTTCTTTTAAGCAGCTTTCCCATGTTTGGGGGGTAGAGGGCTAATCCTCTGTCAGGGATGGGGAACTGCTCTCTTCACAGTACAGGCCGTGGGAGTCTTCTCCCCTCCCTCCACTCTGCTGACACCCACCCGCGGGCTGGCATTTTCTTAATGCCGTATCAGTTTCAACAAGCGGAAATAAAGTTAAACTGTCTCAAGGCATCCGTTTGTCTCACTTTCAGAAATCCCCAGAGAGACGACTGTAATTCTCTTCACTTGCTTTGGCTTTTTAAAAGCCAGGAGGACAAAAAGAGGAGGAACCAAAGCAAGAGGCCGTTACCATGGTTTCTCAATCATAAGAAATCAGTCAGAGACTTTCACTTGAGCTGTCAAAGCCAAAAGTTAGGTGACGGCAGAAGAAGACCAAGTTAAGCAGAGTAGCTTGTCCACTTGATCAGTTTTCTCTCTTTAACTATTGGTCATAACAGGCGGTTTTAGCTTCCAACTACAAAAGACACAGCTCAGAGGAATAAGACAGTTCTTAATGGCGTACCTGAGGGATAATTGACATTTTCTGGCGCAGCGTGTGCAAACCGATCTCTGAAGTCAGAATGCCGTCAATTGTTATTCTTCCCTCAGGTTCTGCCAGTCTGAACATAGCAGAGATGAGGGAGCTTTTACCAGCACCGGTGCGTCCAACAATCCCAACCTTTAGAGGAGAGAAAGGAATTTCAGAGCACATCCATAAAACTCTACAAATTCCCAAAAAAATCTTCTAACGCACACTATAATGCTATAATTGAAAGTCATAATCCTGAAGAAGAATGTCATGTGACATTTAAAATTGTTTTGCTTGTATGAGATCAGGAACTTTTTTTTTCCTCTTTTTGAATTGTGTTTTGTATATAAAAAAAAAAAAAAAAACACTTACATTGACTGACCATTGCATTATGAGAACACAAAGGTAAAAATCCCTGTTGGTGGGATGGGTAAATTAGTCAGTAAAATCATTTTTTGCCTTAGTTTGATGAGTTGAAACATAAAAAATAGTCAAGCCTAAGTTGGACAAGAACTAAACTCAGATGCCTAGATGGCTGAGTCAGAGCATCTCCAAAACTACCCCTCCTGTGGCTTTTTCAACAACAGTGGTTAACCAGTAATAGGGTGATGTGCAGCCAAAGCTCATTGATGCACGTTGGGAGGGAACAACAAGAGCTACTGAAGCTCAAATTACTGCCAGAGTTAATGGTGGTTCTGATTGAGGGATGTCAGGACACACGCTGCATCACGGTTTGTTGTGTATGAGGCTCCACGGCCGCAGACCAGTGAAGATGTCCCTGCTGACCCACATCCTGCTCTGAAAGTGCCTACAAAGAAAACATGAGCCTCAGAACTAGACTACAAAGCACTGGAGAAGGTGGCCTAGTCTAAATGATTCACTTCTTCTTCTTTTACGTCATGTCGATGGCCAGGAGCACGTCCGTCAAATACCAGAGATTGATCTGAATGTACCGTGGTAAGAAGGTAAGGCAACTGGAAAGGCTCGGTTGTTGGCCTCCATATAATTTGACAACCAGTCAAATCTCAATTCATGCAGGTCTGGGACTTAAGAAATCTGCTGCTACCATCTTGTTACTAAATACCACAGCACACCTCTGGGGATCAACTGGAGTCTGTACCTCGATGAGTAAGAACTATTTTGGACATAGTCTATTTTGAAACATTGAATATTTGACTTCTTTGCAGTTTGTGTGTTGCTTTTCATGTTTCATCAATCTAAATAGTAAGTGTATATTGGCATCGGCGTTGTAGAATTGACAATGTTCTGCTGAGTCATGCCTGGGTGCGTTATTTTTCCGTGACGTTTTTGTCACAAAAAAAAAAAAGCATCAAGTGACCACTTGGGAATTAAAATTCAATGCTCTGTGAATGCGTCCAAGCAGTCAGATAATTATTAGCTGAACTGATCAGAAAGTAGGTCAGTTATTCTCATATCTTCCAGCACCGTAGAAACAAAAGGAAGGTGTGCAAACTGATATTATAGTTTGCACAAATGGTTAGACTATTTCTTCCATATCGCCACGGTGATCTGAACAGCTGGTTACCAGTAATGAGTGAATTCCAAAATCTATATTATGAATTACATTTAGCTATATGACAGAAAAAAGTATATTTACTAAAAGTGTGAACAAATCTGATCTTGGTGAAAAGCAAAGAGTCCTTACAAAGCCATTCCTCTTGACTAATAAAGATTTCTTTACAACTGTTTTCCAGTTTAAGGCAACAATAAAAATATCTATTATTAAAGCTACGAGGTGCATTGAAAAAAAAAAAAAAAAACGGTGTCAGGGGAAATAAGATGCACACAACCTCTTATAACCCCATGGCATCCCTCCCATGGGCTGTCAGAGCCAGGGCCTTTTCACTTATCAGCCCATCCATTGTGAAATCAGCTGCCCTGGCCAACCATAACCATGCAAAATACACCCCCTGCATTAAACACAATTTCAATCATCCTTAACCATCTCCCCTCTGCCTTCCTCTGCCCCTCTCCCTCGGCCTCTCCTCTCTCTTATACTGAATAAACAGTTGTCACCGTCAGGTAGCTCAAAATGCAAATTGGAAACAAATGGATCCACTTGAACAGTCTTAATTACATGATATGTATTCCATGAATCACAAATGGTATAGTCCTGAAGATTCAGCAGCACAATATGATGTCCCCTTTAATAATTGATTCAGAAATAATGCCACGTAAAAAAAAAAAAAATAAAATAAAAAAAGAAGAAGAAAAGCACGGCACGGTACGCCTCTCAAACTGGCTGCATATCAAGTCACGCACAGGTGGACGTAAAAAGACAAAAACCTTCTCTCTGGATGTGAAGACAAAACTCAGGTTCTTTAGGACCAAAGGGGAGCTGTCGCTGTAAGAAAAGCTAACGCTGTCAAAGGTGATGGAGCCCTTCTGGGGCCAGTCTCCAGGAGGCCGTTTGTCCGTCTCCCAAGGTGCTTCGCTCTCCAGCTCCGCATACTCAACCACTCTCTCCACAGATGTCATCTAGAATGAATAACATGTAGGCTTTAAGTAAATCTTGACAAAGAACTTTTGCTTTCAACTACTCTGGTTAAATGAAAGAGCTCTCCAGTTTCTGAAAGCATTGGATCATTAATTTATTATCTTCACAATATAAATGGTTGCCTAATTCTAGAGGATAATTGGATTTAGTTGAATTATTTAGTACTTCATGACTTCACTTAAAAGAGATTTGGGAGTCAAAGACAGATTTCAATGCTATTAAAATTGAAGTACACACAAGGATACATTTTAGAGTCTTGTCCTCAAGTCACAATTTTTTATGCAAAAAATAAATAAATAAATAAATAAATAAATAAATAAATAAATAAATAAATAAATAAATAAATAAATAAATAAGAGGTAGCCTGGGTTAGCTGATAAAATTTTGACAAATACTTTTGGCGAAAATCTTATTCATAAAACATTCAAAATGCGAGCCAGGTACACAGCTGCATTCTGTTATGACGCAAATAGTGTAAATGCTCTCACCAGGTTCTCAATCTCTGCACTCTGTCTGACTCCCCACTGAAACATGCCTGTGAGAGTAACGGCATATGACAGAGCCAGGCCCACAGCACCTGGCTCCAGTCCTTCAACACAAGGGGGAAAAAAGGGAAACATGCACCTGCGTGAATTCACAGCTGTATTCTTAATAGCTGTCAGATATTAATAATCCTCTTCATGTGGGTGTGTGTCTGTGATCAGTACAGTACCATCCCTGAAGTAGAGGCAGCCAAAAGCTGTAATCGTGACAAAAATGCAACAAATTCCATCAAGACGCACAGCAAACCAGCGTGAAGTGGTCAGGAAGAGGAACCAGGCTTCTGTTAGTGAAAATAACAAGGACACAGTTAAAATGTTTTTTTTTTTTTTTTTCTAAATCCCTTAAATTGCTAATACCACAGAAATAAAATAATAAGTCTCAGTTCAAGATGCAGTAGTGACTGACATGTGGAACCACTCTGTCTGGACACTGTTCATAACTGCAAAAGGTCATCGCAATTTTCAGCACAGCCAATGTACTTAAAACGACAACTTCTCATCATAGCCATTAGACATTAGTTTCATATACATCATGATATTTTTTTATCATGATGTGGCATCTATCCTGTTTAGTTGAACAAATCTATGTATTCAACAAATACAAGAAATGTAGAAAAGGTTCAATAACCTGGTTTCATAGATATGCACACTCTTAAGCTAACATGTTCAAGTCCATTTTTAATTTTAGCATTTGACAATTAAAAAAAATAAACACCATTCCTACAGTGTAGCTTGGTGGTGGCAGCATCATGCTGTGGGGACACGTTTTCTAAACTGGACCAGTTACAAATGCCAGCCTGTTTTGAGGCAGAGCGCTAATTTTTTATGACATCACAATGGTTCCATGCATACATCCAGATCAACAACATCTGTCTTCACCAGACAAATAATAAAGTTTTGAAAGCAGAGGTAAATTTAACACAATATGTGTGGGGTGACCTGAATATGGATTGTAACGTGGCGTTAATATTAAAAAGAAAAAAAGTTAGGTGCAGAAAGTATCAGCGTAAAGATATTTATACTTATCCAACTAAGTCAATAAGCTTTTCGTATTTTGTTTTGTTTTTTTCTAATAGTTTGACTCAATTTAGGTTAGTTTATTTATATACCAAATCACACCACAAGAAATTTCGAGGCACTTTACATTAAAAAAAAAAAATTCAATTCGATCACAGCCAAACATAATGCTGGCTGTGGTAGTTTCATTTGTTTTGCCATTGAATTGTACAGGATTTTAAAATAGTTTTAAGATTATTTATCAGGGTCTTTTTTTATAAGCAGTTTTCACACTCTTTAGCTCCACTGTAAAATTTCCATACACAGATTAGTCAAGGCCACAGGATACATCAATATCATCTGTCATTTTGCATTTCAAACATTTATTTAACAAGTCTAACCTGAATGAAGATCTTGATACTTGTCAAACATTTGCTGAAACTGATGTTGAACTCTGAAGGCACGAATGGTGCTCAGGCCTTGGAGAGAGGAAGAAAGGTGGGAGAATACAGGACTCCGAGCTTTAAGAAATCAAAGATCAAATAAATGTTAGCACATGAACAAACAGAAAAATTTTTTGATTTTGTACTCTGGTAAAGTACATCATCATTCTTTGTCTTTAAGAATAGTCATTTCGGAGCAGCCATTTATTGTCTATAGAAATAATTTTTAGGGTACATATTTTCAAGTGTGTGTATTAATAGATGTTATTAAATGGCTGCCTCCTAAACATCTGTATGCATTCCATAAGACAAACAGTTAGTTAGCTATCTTCTGCTTTAGTTTGTTTTAGCCAAAAGTTTTATTTTATTCGTCTTTCGTCTCTTTTATTCTAGACTTACAAAGTCACTGAGAAAATCCAAATATTTCCTTTCAGCCCTAAGGTTTTAAGCTTAGGATAAAGGACAAACTATGGCCTAGTCATGCCCACTTGGCATTTTTGCTTTTGTATGTGATGTCATGAACCTTAATCTCTTGAGGAAACTGCTTGTGGCCGAGGCATAGGTTACTGCCACCTTTAGCCTTTATGCTAATAGCCATGGCTTTCTGTTCTACTCCATTAGCATTCCTGTGGTCGACTTTTGTCTATCACCACAAATGGAAGAGCCCATCCCCACACAGCAAAACCGTCTTAAAAATTACTTGTAGACTCTAGCCGCTTGATGTCCCTGGAGGTCTGCAGAAAATAGTGTCGCAGGAACAGGAAGATGGCGAGCAGAGGGACAACAGGAATAAGAATCCCGGGGATAATGACGCCGGCCACCGCAATAACTCCGATGACTTGCAGAAATACCTGAAAAAGAGGAGATGAGGTAGGAGCCCCGTATTCAAAGAACACAGTGCTCTGCTGAGTGGTGTGACTTTGGAGCACTGAGGCTTGCTTCTCAAAACAGAAAAGGAGAATGTATCTTTCTGCTTCATGCGAGACCATTGGCTAAGTAACAGCAGGTTGAGGGATTGGGTTTATGTGACTCACAGTGTGAAAGGAAAACGATCGCTGCGCTAATTCTCACTTAGTAGCAGGTGAGAATTTACCACTTGGCCACAGCAGCCGCATATCCCCGGCTCTCTTGGGCTTTCCCCTCAACACTTCTGGCCCGTAAGCCTCGCTGGCAGAACAGCCAGCCAATGAGGACGGCCACGGTGACTGGCAGAGAGCTCTGGGAACCGCACTGTGGGTGTCTGATACATGACAGTGTAACTGCACAACCCTCAACAACACAATGACTCATCACCTTTGTTAATGGCTCTGTGACACATCTAAACCAGGAGAGCAGTAATGCCTGAACAGGATTGGAGGCATGAGTCTGATAGCGACCAAAGAGACCGCACCATCAGAGTAGAAATGAAAACAAGCATCTAATAATAAAGAACTGGCATCGACAGCAAAAGAGTTTGCATAAACTCATCTGGCAGTGATCACCTCATAAGCAGGTATTTATACAGAACAGTTTTCAAACTAATAAGCAGGGGATTTACACATAAAAACATCAGAAATCACACAATTTAATTATATATGTCTATGCTGCTGCATTTTTTTTTTTATGACTCGGTTAAGTAACTAAATTGTAAGGGGATTTTTTTTACTGTGGATGTGAATTAGCATTCACCTCCAGCATCCACCTATGCCCTAATTTCATAATGTCAAAGAGGAAAACTGAGCAACAACAGCCAAAGATATTTTTTCATTATTTTATGTATTTCACTTAAAAAATGGTAATGCTTTTCTATCCAGTTGAACGAGGGCATTTTCCTTTGTTCCCTCTAGATATGCACATATTTTATAATTTCCCCCATCTCTCTTTTATGGAAACTATGTTGAATGCTGGCTCTAAGGGCAATTAGGGCCTTCGATATCCGATATGCATCCAAAAATATATCCCTCTTGTTTTCTGCTGGCCCATGAAGTAGGCATGCAGGAAGGAAATGGGCTACTTCTTTTGTAACACAGTTTGGTTCGCAAGCAAGAAGATGAGTTGTTTTTGGTTGATTCTGTCCATTTGATGGAAGCAGCTCAAGCACTACTTCCTTTTTTAATTCAAAATGAGAGTACTACACATAGAGAAGGAAGTCAAGCTTAAAGAACTAAGCTACATTTTGGAGGCTCATATTAGTTTAATTTAGACCTGATGAGCTCATCAGATGAAAAACTTCTCAGTCCAACGCTCTTAAGCACGGTTGTTAATTAATGACATCGTGAGAATAATTGTTGTGAAAGGGGAGTGAAAGAGCAGGAGCTTCTTAAAGAGACAGAGGCCCAATTTTAAGGCATCAAATTGTGAAATCAAATTTATTTCAGTAAACAGCCAAGTCATGTTTGGTATTCAGCATTTTTATAACAACTGAAGTTAACAGTTACTTGATTGTGCTAAAAAAATGGCGCTGTGGAAAATGCATAAAACCATCCCTTTAGTATAGTTTTGCACATATTTCAATTTTTACACTATAAATGGACTTGTGTGATGGAGTGTGTAAACTTTTCACATACTTTGATTAAATAGATGCTTGGTCAAAGATTTATAGCACACAACAGGAAAACCTTGCACCTTAAAATTAGAAACTTTGTGGAGATGAATCCCAAAAATGTGAAGATTAGGATCATATTCTTACCTTCAGTGGTCTCCGACTACCCCTGAGAGATGGAAATTTAATTTAGCACCTTAATTGTGGATTTTATCTGCCACTTATGCACACATTTAAGCATGATCACTTTCAGTGTAGGTTTATGATGAAAAGCCACTCAATTCCATTTGCAGTTCAGATAAGAGGGAATTACTAGTCCAACCATTGCTGTGGTGGAGCCCACACAATCAAACAGTGAGTCAAAGCTACTGAGCACAACTGATCCCAAGAATTTCACAGTACATAAGTTTCAATCTAAGCTTTGATGGAAGGCTACCAGACTGCAAAGTGAGATGATGGTGCACGGTCCATCACTGCATGTTATCCAGCCTTTCCTCGAGGGCATAAAATATTAACAGAACAAATGTCTTATCACGTATGCTGGTTCTCCTTTGCTCCCCAGCTAATGGCTGGTTGACACCATGCGACTGTTCTTTCACAGTTGCTGTGGGTTATTCTGAATTCTAATTAGGCCCAATAAAGATGCAGAATTTTCCTACCAAAAAGACCCAAAATGGTGACCCAATTTTAGTTTAGATGTTTGTTTGTTTTTTTGTTTGTTTTGTATCCTAATATTCCAACAGGTTCATGATGCCATGCACTTTAACAAAGTTCTTGGGTCCTTTAAAAGGAAAAAATAGGCCCACAGATCCTCCACCATACTTTACCATGGACGGGAGATGGTTTTCCACACCATCAAGCACAAGGAAGCTCAAGGTTGGTCATATGTGACCAACTGCAAACAGCCAGCAATATTATGTCATCCCTTGAAGAGACAAAAGTCTATCTAACCTCCCTTTAAACACGTAAATACACGTTTTCTAACTGGTCTGATGATGACGCTGTCAATGCAGTCTTTACGTTGACATTGTTGTTTTTCAATGTAGCCAATAGAGGTGAGTTCTGAGTAAGATTCAGCTGAATGGTGACATTTCTTTTGGTTCCAAAATGATCCGAAGTCATTTAGTACCACATTCATTTGGAGAGACATAGATGTGGATCTACAGCTAACATTGACATACCGTTATGAAACACTAGCAGCCCAGAATCCATCATCGTTTAATAGTCGAGCAATACCTTTCACAGTAAAACATGCACAGCAGCTGCAGTTTGTAGCCCATTTATGTGGTTCTTTCCACTCTTCATCACATGAGATAAAAATTGCAACCAAGTCTCAAGTTTAAGGAGTCCAAGTAAAATTGCAAGTGTTTGGGGAACAAGTGGAGTCTGAAGTGTTTTGTCTTTACAAATTAAGTCAGAGTCTCACACTTAAATCACCATGTCTGATATCTGATACAGAAAAACTCAATCTCTAGTCTCATCTGACTAAAGCACACCTTTACAGTTAAAGTCATAGTAGTGCTTACCAAACTGCACATTTATTTATGTGTTGATAGGACAAAAAAATAAAATACTTTTCTTGGCATGCCTTGCAAACAACAAACAATGACAAGGCAATTTTAGTTGTATTGCACATTTTTAGCAAATCAGTTCAAAGTGATTTTCGTGATTAGAAGGAAAGTAAAAACAACAATCAAAAAATATTACATTGCAGTGGCATGGTAAGAGAAAAGAATGACGGGCTGAAAAACAAACTACAGTGATGTCCCAGTTGTTTTTAATTAAAGGACATTCTAACCAAATAAGGTTTTAGCCTCGATTTGAAGGAAATCTGTTTCAGCAGTTTTCTGGCTGTTTGTTCCAGTTTAAAGGACCATAAAATCTGAATGCTGCTACTTCAGGTTTGGTTCTGGTTCTGGGGATGCAAAGTAGATTGGAACCAGAATACAGGAGAGGTCTGGAGGGTTGACACAACAGATTTTTAGCGTATTTCGTTGCTAAGCCTTTCAGCGATTTCAGTGATTTATAAACTAACAACTAACTCCTTTGCCCCCCAGCTGACGACTGGTTGACATCACGAATCTGTGCTTTCACATTTGCCTTTTGCTGATCTGAATTCAAATTGGGGCCCATTTCAGACGCAGTTCACCGAAGGTCCAAGCCTAACCGGCTTATCTGTCAGTGGGGTCATCTGAAGGGGCAGCTGAGAAACAGGAACCATTAGAACGAAAAGCTCGCCTCCTCCTGTTCCCCAGGGCGTGATGTCACCAGGATCCTGTTTGATGTGACCCACTTGCGTGGTTTGGTGTTTTTATCACGCGAGCATCGGGAACACCGGGAGACCCCCACCCACACTACATACAGATAAGTCGGATAAGTGATCCTTTGCGAGCATCCACCTCACCCCCTCGGACCACATCCACATCTCCTATGAAACCACACAGGAACAGAAAACTCCCGAAGCCACATCCCGCTGCACATAAAAGTCGATAAAGGGATGAAAGGTTTTGTATACCAACAGTTTAAATAAAGAATTACCACTAATAGCTCTTTAGCAAGAAAAGAAAGCTACCGCACGCATGTGATTCAGTCATCCAGGCAAACTGGGCGCGCTGCCGTGTCCAAAGACCATTCAGATCTCCGCTGACCCTAATTGCTTTATTTTTCCAACGATTCTATCAGCTCTTTGATGTCTAAGTAAATGCAGAAAATTGAAGTTAATTGCTATATTTGTGCTCGGCAATGATAGCGACTGTTGTTCCACAACTGAAAATAAACACTTCCCTGTAATTAAACATCCCTCCGGACACAAGAAATCATTATGCTTTTTACAACTCCTTTTTCATCCTCCCTTTATTTACTAACAGTGTGCAACATTTGCCACTGGGAAAAGAAAAAGTGCACAGAAAACAGGAAACAACAGGAGAGCATGTCGGAGCAGAAATCGCAAAAGAACTCCTCTATCTACCCAAAACTTTTTTTTTTCTTTTTTTTCTTTTTACTCCACGCTTTTTGTGATAGAGCAGGGGGACAAATAAGTCGCAAGGGTCAGTGGTACTGAAACAAAACAAGGCTGTTCCACTTGGGCTCTGGAACAATAGAGGTGACCTGATCCATTCTACTCTGTGCTTGAGCTTTATTTTAAAATTAAATGCCCAGATGCTGAGGCTTTTCTTCGGGAGAAATGACTGTGGACACCTCCTTCACATTTTCCCCTTTTCTGGGCCATTTTCACTTCATAAAGCTGCAGTCAATGTGTTTTGTGTGTGTGTGTGTGGGGTGGGGAGGAGGGCCTGACACATACTGTGGTGGTCTCAGCCGCTGTCTACA